CACGCCCACCGATGATCACGCCCACCGCCCCAGGCTCCGCCCACCGGCCTGCACCGCAGGTGAGAGGTGCGCGCGGCCGGGTCACCTGCGCCACCCCTCAGCTCCCGGCTGCGCTGTCGCCCACCCGCCTCCTTCCTGCCTCTCAGCCCTGAGGGGAGGGGCTGCTTCCGATGAGGTCCTGTTCGGAGGGTCGTGGGGCTGACCCAGCTCCAGGCACACTGAGCTGACCTGGAACAGGCCTGCCCCTGAGGTCGTAGGCACGCAAAGCCAAGCAGCATGAAGGGCCGAGTCACATGTACCTCACACAGCCCCTGTGCTAAGGTGAAGGGCGAGCACACAGGGAGAGAAGGGCTGTGGCTACACCAAGCCCAGGTGCAGAGGAGAAAGGAGCTCAGATGGCCCCTAAGTCCCTGCCTCCCAGCTCAGGGCCACAGTCATCCCTGCTGCCCCCTTTGCCTGGAGGTACAGAGGCCCAGACTAGGGAGGCCGGAGGATTCCCCAGGAGGGGAGCAGAAGTTTCCTCTGCACACAAGGCCTCAACTTGGAGGCTAAGGAAGAGGCTCCGCAGGCCTGGCTTGCGTGCCAGTCAACAACAGGTTCCCCGATGCTGGCTGGGGTGGGCAAGTGCTCAGCTGGCCCAGACACAAGCCCTGCCCCTCCACCCCACCCAACGAAATGTCTGGCCTCCCACTCGTCCTGCGTGCCAACCTGGCCAGGCACACTGGGCTCCCTGGCCAGGGGTCACCCCCCTCATGCCCCCAGCAAAACGGGAATTCCAGCACAAAGATTCCCAGCCATACAGCAGCACGGAGCCTTGCGGTAAGACCACCGCAGAGTGTGGGCAGCTGGAGCCAGAAGGGCGGCCTTTGATGGGGTAGGGTCTGGCCGAGGCCCTGGCCAGCTGGAACGGGCAGAGGCGATTGGGCTTGGATTGCCCCCAGGGCTGAGGGTCTGGTGTCACAGGCCCAGCAAAGGAGTCTTTCTTCTAGCTCAGGACCTCAAGGGGAGGGGTGGGAGCCCTGGGAGGTCACTCAGCCTCCTCAAAGCCCAGCCCTGCGGGCCCCAGAAGACAGTCCCTGGGTGTGGCCAGTGCTGGGCTCCAAGCCCCAGTTTCCCGCCAGCGCTCCCCTCCCCACACCCTCCCAGGCCCTTTCTTCCACGCATGAAAGCCCAGAGGACGGAGAGGAACACACATTAGGCCTGAAAGAGAAGGGACAAAGACAGGCCAGAGGGTGCCCAGTGCAGGAAAGGACATCAGACGCGGGTGCTGCGGACCTGTCACCACCATCTGGCCCTCCAGCCCCCCACCTCATCCTTCCCACCCCAACAGTGCTTCCTGGTGTTCTGGACTGTTCTTGGATGGACAACAAGCCCAGGCCAGGGGCAGCAGGAGCCTTGCCAGGCCTGAGAGGATGGGGCAGGGAGAGGGAAGGCCTGGACCCTGCCCTGGGGGAGACAGGCTCATGACTGAGCGCCCAGATTAGCCTGCAGGGAGGGAGGCAGGGAGCAGCCAAGACAAAGGCTGAGAGCGCTTTCTGAGACAGAAGGAGGGCAGGAACGCCCCTTCCTGGGGGAGTGGGGGTCAGAGGGAAGCTGGCAGGAGCTGAAGGGGCAGGAGTAGGCTCTGGGCGGGGCAGCCCCAGCTTCAGGGAACCTCAGCAGGAGTGGGGGATCCAGATGTGCTGCACGTGGCTTGGCACCGGCTCCAGGCAGAGGAATGCGGATGCAGAGGGGTGTAGGGAGAGGCCCTCAGGAGAAGGGTCCTCAATCTCCCTTCTCCTGCAGGATTCAGACCTCCCAGGGAGGGAAAGTTTGCTGAGGCCTCCTGAGAGCTTGGTGAACTTGGCTGCTTCTGCCTCAGTCTCCCCATCAGAAGCCACAGTGTCCTGTGGCTGAAACATCTTCATTGGGAAAGGCCCTTCACTGGCTGCTTCCTTTTTCATGTGCTCATTCAGTCACTCAACAAATGCTTGCTGAGCGCCTCCTGGAGGCCAGAGGCGAGCTGGGAGAGAGCAGGCTTCGCGAAGGCTCCCGGGAGGAGGGGAAGCCTGTGCTACCTTGTGAGTGAGACAGCGGACACCACAGAGCACGCGGAGCACACGTGTACAGCCGATGAGAGTGACAGAGGGACGCACGCATAAGCACCAGCATATTGGAGACCCCCTTGGTGGTCCTGTGCAGAGCATCCCTCCTCCCCACCAGAGGTACCCACTTTCCTGAATTGTGTGTCGCTCCCTTGCTTTTCTTTATAGCTTTACCACTCATTGATGCATCTCTAAATAATATATTGGGTTGTTTTTCCTGGTTTTCGACACATGGACGTACGGCTGGGCACCCCACTTTTTTCACTCACATTATAATTTCGTGGTTCACCCCTGTTGACATTGGAAGGTGTAGTTCATTTATTGTCATTGCTGTATTTTTGTCGTGTGCGTATATACCGAAACTGACATGTCACCGTGCAGCAGGCAGGCACGTCGGGGCGTCTGGCTTCAGGCTCTGGCTGAGGTTGCTGCTGCGGGCATCTGCACGTTGCCAGGCGTTTCTCTGGGGATGCCCTGGGAGTAGAATTGCTGGTTATGCTCTACCCATGTGTTCAGCTTCACTAGCAAATTGCTTTCCAAAACCACACTGCCAGTCGGCAGTCATGAGCATTTGTGACAGTCCTGGTTGCCCCACGTCCTTGTCAGCCTTAGCACTGTGCAACTTGCAGGTTCTGAGGGTGAGATGGCATCTCCTGAGACTTCCATTTGTATTTCCTCGCTCTCTTCACGTCTTCTGTGAAGTGCCTGGTCAAGTCTTTGGTTTATCTTGATCTTACTGACTAGCGGGCGCCCTGCGTATGTTCTGGACATTTAGTGCTTTGGCAGTTCAGTCATGGAAGTTCTTCACTAGTCTGGATATATCCGTTTTCTGCTTTATCATTTGCTCTTTCAGGATCATCTGTGAGTCACCTACTCTGGGGTCACAGAGACTGGCTCCTCTGCTGTTTTCTAAAGGCTTTGTGAGTTTGCTTCCTGCGAGCCTTTGATCCGCCTGGAAGCAGTTTT